AGAAACAAAACCTTCTCTAAAACCAGTGTGACAGCTATGCCGATATAACTTCAAGATAAGTTCCGTAGTCCACCCATATGCCTCCTTCCTCCTCTCACCCACCCCCCCCGGAAAAACTCAACTTCTCTGTAGTCATTTTCTGCTTGAGATTGGTTTATTTTTATATCACATGGAATTATTTTTGTTTTATTCAGTTATTTAGCCTCTCATTTGAGAGACCTACTCTGACTTCTGTATATAAACTAACACATGCTATATACCTATCTCTATTTTCTCATTTTTCTTTATAACATGTGAGATAGTATGTATTTATCTGCTGTTTATCCAGTAGAGTGAGAGTTCCATGAGAACAGGAATTTTGTCTTTGTTCACTTATATAACCTTTTACCAAGAGCAGTGCCTGGAAATAAGGCACCTTTAGTGGTCTTTAAATTTTACTCGAATAAATCTAATAAGCAAATTAAAAATTTTAGATTATTTAAAATAAGTTTAATGTTAATGTCATTTTACTGAAAACTATTGGGCTAGCAAGTACCATTTGTAGATAATAGACTATAAGCAGAAAAGAATGCAAGAAGTAATCATGATTATAAAGGTATTAATTTTTACAATTATTGCTGGAATATTTGGTTAAATGCTATAATTGCATGACTGAAATCAATATTTAAGAAAATAGAACTTAGTTTAAAATTACCATACTTCAGCATCAATCATACAGGATAAATAGTGGTGTTTATATTTTTTATAAATATTTGAGTATTGATTATTCATCAGTAAAATGTTTTCTTTTACATTTATATGTGGTTGAACTATACGAAATTGTTCAGATCCAAACTTTTTTTGATCTATAAAGGCATCAGTTACATATGTGTATTGAAATTGGTAAGTAACCTGATCTCTGATATTGTTTCTTTTCTTTATTTATAAACACTGAAATAATTTGCATAGTGAAGGAAAAGACTGAAATTCATATCCATGTAAATTTGTAATGCTCTTATTTTGTTACTTATTTCCAGGCTATTTAGCAGACATGATCCACAAGCAGAAGAAGCATTAGCAAAGAGGAGGGGAAGGAACAGTCCAAATGGGAATCTCATTAGGATGCTGGTTCTTTTCTTTCTTGAAAGTGAGGTAAAAAAAAAAAAAAATTTAACATAATCTGTATTTTTCAAGTTATATTGCATATTAAATAAAATTGTCACTTAATTCGTTGTTATTAATTGATTTTTTCCCAATCAAATGAAAACAATCTTGTTTCTTATAAAGTAGCCTTCATGAATTGCTTGATTGTGGAATCAGTACTCTACCTTTTGTGGGAAGAAGTTCCAAATATACTCATATGTAAGTGTGTATCAATACTGAATATAGACTAGCAATTGTTAAACTTTTGCAGTATCGCAATACTGCATACTTTTTTTGTCTTTGCCTTTTCTTTTAATTTGTGTCTATGGCTTTTAAATTATACTTAAACAGCTTGTGAAANTTTGCCTTTTCTTTTAATTTGTGTCTATGGCTTTTAAATTATACTTAAACAGCTTGTGAAAGTTTGTCAAGCTGTTATGACTTGTTTGAAAATATTTAATAAGGAGAAAGAAAAATATTCAGATATTTTAATTGATAGTTGCACGGCCCCATGGCAGTATTTTCATGTGCTATAGTCAGTTATCACTTAAATAATTTTGTAATTAAGACTTACATTATCTATCAAGATCTGTTTTCACAGGTGAACTTTGGTTTGTCCACTAAAATACTCTTTGATATTTTATCAGCACCGCACTCTACCGAGTGAGCCACAGGCCGGCCCTTACTCTTTGATATTTTAATCTGTATTTCCTACTACTGGCATGACATTGGAGGAATGATAAACTAAACCTAAAGAGCCCCTGAATGAATAAACTACTTGGTTTAGAAATTATTGAGAATATAGTTGCAAAAGAAGTAAAGAAAATCTAGAAATCTAGGACACTCAATTTTATTTGGGAAAAGGTGTTTTTGGTTTGTGTTGGAATGTTGCAGAAGTAGAGAAACTTAAAAGATTCTGTAAATGATCAAGTTGAGAGTGCTGCAGGAACTCTGTAGGAATGAGGAGGAGAGACAAACAGGCAGCCTATATGAAAATCTGAGAAGTAAGAAATGTATTAGTGGAATGAGAGGGGTTAGGTCAAAGCAGGACAGAAAGAAACATGAAGGAGTTGGGAATGAATAGAGAAAAAGTAAAGTCAGAAACAAAATCAGCTGATGAGTTGCATTTGAGTAAAGAATATGTTTAAGAGTAGTGTTTTAAAAGTGCATACANATGGGCCATAATAATCATATACAGTGTATATTGACAAAATAAAAATTAAAAAAAATAAAAAAATAAAAAAAAAAATAAATAAAAGTGCATACAGATCACCTGGGGATCTCATGAAAATGCTGGTTCTGATTCAGTAGCTCTAGAGTGGGGCCTGAGATTCTGCATTTCTAACAAGCTCTTAAGTTACACTGGTCCAAGGACCATACTTTGCATGGAAAGGATTTAAAACATTTTCTTAACAAAGCAAGTACGTGGATATGTTTTAGAATAAAATGCAAAATGTAAATTTTTAAGATAAAACACTAAATATCCAATAAACCTCACACTTATGACAGATCATTTCAAATTATACCCTTAGCCTCTTAGGTTTTAGAGGAATGGGATAAAAATTGTTATGCAACAATCAAGTCCTGTATAAAAAAGATGACTATAATAGCAATGAGTTTCAAAATTGAGAGATGAGACATGCAAATCTTATAAACTGCTGAAAAGTTTAAGGAATATGATGATCTTGGCTAATTGAATTTGAGTATTAATTAAAGGAAAATGCTTTGTAACTCTGAAAGCTGAAGGACTTTTATTTTTGTCTTGTTAAAAGGTATAAGGTACTTAGTTTTAGCCAGTGTCATCTTTTATTTAAAGCAGCAATTTATAATATTACTACTCTATTTTCATGATATTACTATATTTCTGTGTTTGTTGCTGTTTGCTGAAGTGTTACAATAACATTAAAATATATTTTCCTGTGTGGCATTCTTGTCAGCTACAAAAGCAACTGCAAATCATATTTAAGGGTTTCTAGTTGATTCATGACTATTATATTAGCCTTTATGGTTGGTCTCCTGTGTTTCATAAGAAACATTCCTTGTGAAAATCTCTCTTATTGTACTAGCATACTAGTGTACATCGAGAGCTGAATGCTTACTGAGGCCATATTCTTATCGTCTGAGGGAATTCCAATTGTGTCCTACCTTGAATTCCTCTTTGTTTTACTGTAACACATATTAATTAGTAAAATTTTAGTAATAGACTTATGAAATGTTGAACTGAAAGAGACTTTAGAGAAATAAAAAGTAGGATGAGTCTGTCTTATAGATGAGTTACAGATCACTTAACTGAGATTAAGTGAACTGATTATCATTCTTTGTTTTACAGGGATGTGAAATAGTAACATTTTAATAATAGATTTATAAAATGTTGAACTGTGAAAGAGTTTTACTGTGCAGGTGAAATAATGGAGATTAAGAGATCTGTCTAAACTAGTTACTAATTTTTTTTCTTTTGGTACCAAAAAATGACAGTTTTAAGCTATCACAGTCTTTATGGCAGTCATTGATTTCAGGTGACAAAGTACCTTGTATTTTAGATGCATGCCAAATAGTAGGCTGAGTAGTACTTGAATATGATGGTCCAGATTTCCCTATAGGTAGTGTGACCATAGAATTTATTGTACAAACGATGATTTTCAGAGAGACAAGGATGCTATTAATAATTATCCCAAAATAACAAGAGTAACCCAGAACAGTTCTGGACAATCTGGAAATATGGTCACCTTCCTTATAGGCATGTGGAATGGTGAGGCTAATTGTGATAGTCACTTTAGACAGAAAATTGACAACCATAGTATTGATGTATCCAAGAAACCTCCCAAGAGTGTTCATTCCTAGGGTATGAATGATCATTTAAGATTTTTTGCTTGGTTTTTTTGTTTGTTTGTTTTTTATGTTTTTCAAGATTCTCAAATGCCTGGCTCTATTTCAGCAGAGGTAAAGACACAATATGGGAGTGTTTAGAAATTTTAGGCTTAATAACTTGAGATGATTATTTGCATTGGAAATGATTTGTGATAAAAGAGATCACTATAAGGTTTCATTACACAGCGAATTTCTTTAGTATGTTTAGCTATCTGACAGGTTAGCAGGCAAAGAAAACTTCAGGTAAAATATTAGGAGTAACCTTGAAGCCAATTAAAGATGAATCAGAATATACCTAGAAAATTGTAGTTAAAGTCATCAGGAAAATGAGATGAGTTTGTCTTGTATACAAGCTTATATAAAATTTTAATTTATATATGTTATATTTTATAAATTTTAATACAGTTTTAACTGTTCATTTTGCTATACAATGACTCTGTATCCATTAAAGAGTTACCGTTTTTGTTCATCTGATTTCTGAAGACTGCAAAGAATGCTTACAGGTACCTGATTTTTATACTGTTTTTTATGACACCAAAAACTGTTTTTAGAAAATTTATTCTCTTTTCATTTTTAGGGTTCCAGTTCCTTTTTAATCCTAGGGTTTCTTTATGGTCGTTGAAAAATGCCTCAAGGCCTTTCTTCTCATAGATTTGTCTTTCATTACACATAGAAAGTCCTTGGTGTAAAGTAGTCTGAAAGGCGATTGTACCTTTTACCCCTACTGACTATGTTAGATTTTTTTTTCTCTTTTTTTCCTCAAACATGTGTTTACCTGGTATTCTAGTAGAAATTTCAGACCAGCAAGTTCTGTGGTTATCAAAGATGCACTAAGACAGAAAAACTATCATAAACATTTTGTCAAGCCAGTCCCTGACCATGTTGTTCTGATTATCAACAAGGGGTATGAGAAGTAGTGAATGCCTCAGATAATTTATAACCACCAGGAGGCACAGGAAATTTTTGCATTCAAATGACAAATTGTGTCCTTGTACATAGAGGGAAAGACTGCCTGATTATAGATCCCCTCTTAACCACTTTTCTGCACAACCACTGGACCTTTCTGCTAGGCTCTTGTAATTAGACTCATGGAAGGGATTCTGGCTAATAATAATCTTGAGTCTAGACTGACATATTTGAACTGGCAACTAAGAATCATTAAAGCTTTAAAATGGAAAAAGTTTAAGGGGGAAAAATCAATAAATGGCCTGAATGGACACAATCAAAGATTGGCTATAGTTTGAACCAAGGGATGTTTTCCAGAAAGCAGTGAAAGAGAAGGAGGAAATCAAAAGCATGAGAGAGCAATTAAGAGACAAGGGAGTTTTACTGTATTATCTGGTAGGAGCTCTGTAAAAAGAACAGAAAGAATGGAGGGGAGGAACTAATAAAAGGACATGCAATCAGAAAATTTACTACCCATGAACTTTATATGCAAAGTTTTACTTGAGGATATTTTCTAGCAAAATGAAAAATAAAAAAACAAGGAATATAAGAAACATTGATGAGCAAATCAAACTTAGAGCTAAGCCTAAAAAATATAGCCATGAAGTTTAAGGCAGCTATCTAAAAATTATTCTTAAAATGTAAGAATATAATGTTCAAGTTAAATGAAGAGAAATAAATAAATGTGCTGAAGATCTTGGTAGAAGAAAAATACTCATATAAATTAGAAAGTAAAATTCAGAGCCCTGTACTGACCAGCTGCAAAAAAATAAAATAAAAAGAGAGAGAGAGAGAAAATAAAACTCTGAAGGAAGGACAGATTAAACAATCAAGGAAGTATCACAAGTAGAGCACAGAATAAAATGCCAGGAATATTTTTAACACCAGTAATCCTAGTAAATGTAAATAGATTGACATGCTTCGTTAAAAGACATTGGGGTTGAAATAAAGAAATGAAAAATAGCTATGTGTTGTTTACAAACACACGTTAAAATAGCACAGGAAGTTTACAAATAAAGGGCTGGACAAAGGCTGGATGTAAATAACATGCTTACAGAAAGATAGCGGGAGGGACAATATCAAAGACACAATATGGGAGTGTTTAGAAATTTTAGGCTTAATAACTTGAGATGATTATTTGCATTGGAAATGATTTGTGATAAAAGAGATCACTATAAGGTTTCATTACACAGCGAATTTCTTTAGTATGTTTAGCTATCTGACAGGTTAGCAGGCAAAGAAAACTTCAGGTAAAATATTAGGAGTAACCTTGAAGCCAATTAAAGATGAATCAGAATATACCTAGAAAATTGTAGTTAAAGTCATCAGGAAAATGAGATGAGTTTGTCTTGTATACAAGCTTATATAAAATTTTAATTTATATATGTTATATTTTATAAATTTTAATACAGTTTTAACTGTTCATTTTGCTATACAATGACTCTGTATCCATTAAAGAGTTACCGTTTTTGTTCATCTGATTTCTGAAGACTGCAAAGAATGCTTACAGGTACCTGATTTTTATACTGTTTTTTATGACACCAAAAACTGTTTTTAGAAAATTTATTCTCTTTTCATTTTTAGGGTTCCAGTTCCTTTTTAATCCTAGGGTTTCTTTATGGTCGTTGAAAAATGCCTCAAGGCCTTTCTTCTCATAGATTTGTCTTTCATTACACATAGAAAGTCCTTGGTGTCATTTTTCTTTTTTCTACTGCCGTTTTTCATTTTTGACATCAATCTGTTGCGTCTTTGACACCACTTGTGCCTGTCACTGTTGGAATGATGTTACTAATAGTGTAAGAATTGTTTCTGAGGATATGAGAATTTGGAAAGTTTGAAGATATCTTGCTACAAACCTTTGCCCATGTTCTTTCCAAGCAAAGATGCTAATCAGTATTATCTACTCTGGCTTTGGCAGAATTCATTGGGAGACTGTGTGTGTGTGTGTGTGTGTGTGTGTGTGTGTGTGTGAGAGAGAGAGAGAGAGAGAGAGAGAGAGAGAGTCTACTAAGAGAGCCTAGTGAGCTGTTCCTGTTCCACCAGGGAACAATGTCTGTGGGATTAATCAGCATCTAGAGATCTGTGCTATGCTACATCTATGCTAGAACTTGCGTCTAGGTGGTCTTGCAGCTTGTTGTAGGGGTCTCACATAATGGCCTGAGATTCAGGAGAGGACTTCGGTCCTGGAATAAGCTAATAATGATAGAATGGGACTCTAACCAGAGGAACTGGGTTATTGACTAGGTTACTAAGGTATGATGAATTAAGGCAGAGAATCATTTCTTGAGGTGGCACAACCTCGGAACTGGACCAACCAAGCAAATTTGACATAGAGCATCATCTGTTGTTTTTCATTCAAGAGCATCATAGGATTCTTGTCCAGGAAAGGGACTGCATCTGTAGGTGGCCTAACCTCTGTTCAGAAAAGTGTAGGGAAGGGAGTCAAGCAAGTTTTAAGTCATTAAAGGTTTCTATATGTATTATTACCCATTGAAATAACTGCCATGGTTCTTAGTTTTCAATGCCCCTTGCCCCCCAAATCACAAACAAACGTGATTTGAGTGGGGTAAGTACAGCTAAATGTCTGAGAGTGTGTATGTGGTTTTCCTGAGGCATTTCTGGAGCCAGGGTGAAAGATTTGAAATGTAGTAGAAATGAAGTACAGAATTAAGGTCAAACAAGGCAATGCATTAAATGGGTCATCAAAATTCACATTGATGTCAAGAATAATGATAGGATTGAGGAAGAAAACCAACTTAAGTGCCAAATATGCCAAGATAACAGTAGATAACGAGTAGGTCTAGAAAGGTGACTTTCATACTTTTGGGGCCACTACTTGTGATGGGGAAAACATTTTCTCTCAACAGGTACAAGCACACATAACAAATTACAATTGTATGAAATAGTATTTACCCTTTTTATATGCTGTGCACTCTTCTACTCTGCTTCATTTTTTGAGATGGTCTGGGTTGATATCTGTTGTTTAATAAACACTGATCTTGAGGATGGTTTAGCTGGATGCCATGAGCCTCAAAGGTGGAAAATCTTTTATACAAGGGTGGAGAAGTTAATTGTAAGTAGCGGAAACTGGGGCAAGGCCACTACCTTCTCAACTTACTTTCCCTGAAGAGCTTCGCTGGAATAACATTCTCTGAGGTTTAATGACTGGCAAGTGGTAGTGTTTGGTGTGAAGTGTTTGATGAGAAACTTAAGTATGTTTGTTTACTGTGGGAATTGTCAAGAGAGTAATGACTAACAGAAAATGGGGGTGGGGGAAAGAGTGCATTGATTCAAATGGAAATGAGAATAGAAAAGAGGAGAGATGGAGTAACTTGCATTTTTTATCTTGACCAAGATGACAGAGATGTTAGTAAGGCTGATACCAAAATTTCAAATGGAATTCTGAGGGAAAGTGATTAATTTCCTTTTAAAAAGAAAAAGATAGTTTAAGAGAAACAATCAAGAATACTAAAAAGTACCTTAGATCTAGTTTATGATTTCAGGAATTCTGCTAACTATACATTCACCTTCCTCATCCATAAATCATGTCATTGGACTAGGAGATTCTTAATCTGACCACTGTAAATGTTAAAATGTTTTTATGTTATTCTGTATATTGCATCCACATTATTGACAGTAGAATATGAATGTGTATGTTATTCTCTAAATGGTTCTTAGAATCACTGAGACCAAGCCACTTAATTATTTTAAAAAATGGTTTATTAACCTAAAATATTGTTAGTAGTTTATTAAATGTTCTTTACTCACACTTGATTTTTTATTTTTAGTTACATGAACATGCAGCCTACTTGGTGGACAGTTTGTGGGAGAGCTCTCAAGAACTGTTGAAAGACTGGGAATGTATGACAGAGTTGCTTTTAGAAGAACCTGTTCAAGGAGAGGAAGGTATAGTATTTTTTCAAGTCAGTTTACATATTGTTGTGTTTTCATTAATAATCATATCATCCAATATAGATTATTTCTTTAAAATGGTATGTGCAAGCATGCTTTTTGCCAAGGGAACAGTTTGTTTCCTTTAACAAATAGGAATGTCTCAATAGTTGGTAACACCTTTCCACATTAACACTGCTACAATGCTGTATGCACAACTTTTTAAAAACCCATGTGTTGTGTAATGTTCAAAAAAGTTTTTGTTATGCTGATTTGAGGCACAAAATACTGATGTACTTAATGTCCAAAAACAATGCATCCAGAATTTTTTTGCTAGATTTATATGTGGACTCAGAAAAACCTTTGACACATAAGGATTTAGTTAAACCACAGTCATCCCCTATTTTGTTATATTTTCTTTAAAATTAACATCAGGAAATCAGAAATAAGGTGATTTTCCTAGCTGTTCAAGAAATAGGGAGAAATAATAGCCATATGATAATTTTTGAAGTATGCATATTTTTATACACTGTATAACAACATGCACAGTGAAATGGATATGTATACTTAATAAAGAGGTTATATTCTAAAAGCATATATGAATATTAGCTCCTTGGAACTAGAAATGCTTTTTCCTATATATGGCTAGGCTTATGAGAGCTGTGTTCTGGGTTCCCTTCACTTGTGTGATCACAGGAATATGAACATATAGTTCTGCATTTTCTCCTTTGTATTTTACTTATACATATTCCTGTTAAATTCACTGACTTCATACATTCTATTTTTAACTAATCTTACTATTTTCCCTGATAAAAATCAATTCCTTTTCTAATCACTACTGACCAATCAACACTTTAAGGGCCTGGCATACTATTTAGTGGTACATTCCATCTGTTTTTCTTACCTTGCTCGTGGTCATAAAATTAACAAATACCAGAGTGGATTAGAGCTTCTCATTTCTGTTTTCAAGCCATTTTTCTTTATATTACCTCAGGCTCTATAAGGTTATTTCCAAGGAGAGGGGAGGCAGGTAGTATAAATTAAGGGAAGAAGAGCCAAGGTGGTATGCTTTGGTATGATTGATTTTTTATCCTTATACAAGTAAGGTGTGTAAGTCAATAGATAATAATTACTAAATCTTTCCATTATCAAGGTGGTCTAGAAGGATTTACCTTGTTAAAATAACTATGTACTATTAGGTGTTTCATTATGGTTTAAATTGAGTTGACATTGGGTTTCTTTGCCTTCTAGTCAAGAGGTTGGTTTGGTTTGGCTTGGGTTTGGTTAGTCTCGTTTTAGTTAGAAAAGTGACTTATTTGATTGGAACATTTTACAGAATGATTCAGTTTTAGGCTATGATTGAACCTGGGTAGGCAAGGCCTGAGAAATTAGGCATAACAAGTACATAACCATATGTACTATATAATGATTCAACTTTTTTCATACACATTTGTCTATATGCATACTGTATGCCACTTATAAGCTGTGGTGGAGAATGGCATCCAAATCAATTTTCTATGCTAGTGTTTTTCTGTATTTTATGATAACAAAATGCTATCAGTAATTTATGTAATTTTTAACACTAGAAATTAAGTTAATTTTTAGATAGGTGGAGTGTGATAGAATTTCAGCAGAGAAAAGTCTAGTTAAGGTTAGAGCACAGTGTTATAACATCAAGATCAAGGGTTCAGATCCCTGTACTGGCCAGCCACCAAAAGCAAAGCAAAGTCTAGTTAGCAGTTAGAGATGTAGGACTAAAATTTGGGAAAACAGACACATCGTGAAAGACTACCAACATCAATTTAAATCATACTAGCCTTAAGACTGTCTTGCAGTGTTTTTAAGGGGCTGGCGTGTGTGTGTGTGTGTGTGTGTGTGTGTGTGTGTGTGTGTGTGTGTGTGTGTGTTACAGCAAACTCAAATTGCTGGATAAATTTTTAGCATAATGTGAGTTTGAGTTCTTGTTAACAGCTCTGCCACCATATAACAAGAAGACCATACTGAGTTAAACTTCTTTAAGTGTCAGCTTCTTCAACTGTAAAATGAGGATCATAGACTACATAATCTTCTTTGATCATTTCTAGTGCTAAAATTTTGTGATCCAGTTGATGGGTGAAGTAAGTGTGGATAATGGAATTCATCAAAGCAGGAATTATTAATTCATTTATATTTTTCAGTTCACTTATAATTTTTAAAATACTTGGCTGGCCAGTTAGCTCACTTGGTTAGAGCATGGTGCTGATAACATCAAGATCAAGGGTTCAAATCCCTGTACTGGCCAGCCATCAAAATACTTATGCATATATATACACACACACATATATATATATAATTTATATGTGCCAAATATTATGCTAAGTGCTGAGGGTACTGGATTAAACTAGCTCAGCTTACTGCCCATATGGAGTTTACATTCTCATGGGGAAGGCAAACCAAGATCAAGTAAGTAATCAAAATAATCTCAAGAGTTAATAAGTGTCTATTATGGAAAATAATAAGGAGGTGTCCATCTTTTAGACTGAATCCTAACAGAAGACCTTTCTGAGGAGGCCACTTGTGAGCCAGGAAGCTAACAGATAAGGGACTGGCTATGGGAAGTGCCAAAAATAGCTATCTAGATACAGGAAATATCAATTGCAGAGCTTCTGAAGCATGAATGATATTATGTTCTAGGAGCTGCAATAGCTAGAGTATAGTGAGTCAGTGGTATAAGATAAGGTGGAAGCAGAGGTAGATAATGTGGAACATTTGAGTTTATAAATAAATTTATTTAGTTTATTCTAAGTGAAATAGGGTGCCATTGAAGGATTTTTGAACGGTGGGGGGGTACTGTGATCCACTTCATATTTTAAGAAAAATGCCTATACATATGGTTTGAAATAGGCAGAAGACCAGGTGTATAATCATTGCAGTGGTTTCTATGGGAAATGATAGTAAAAATATAAAATAGGAAGATAGCTTGTAAAGAAGGAAAGCACTCATGGCTGAGTTGAAGATTGTGGATAGGGAACAAAAGCAGGAAGAGCAAGAGAGATCAAGACCTCTAGCTAGCTACAAAAGGGATAATAGATAATTATACCCTTTACAATCCCAGTAAAGAGGTGTTCGAGAGGTATGGTTAATTATACATGTTGCAGAGGAGAAAAAGAACAACACAAAGATCAATTAGTGATGATTTAGGGCATTGATGACTTTAAAACATTTATTTTCAGTGTTAGTAAATAGAGAAGCCAGAGTTTAAGGTGTTAATAAAATCAGGGGCCGGCCCAGTGGCGTACTGCTACAGTGCGCCGCTTGAGAGCGCGGTGGCGCTAAAAATGGTGTTAATTGAAAAATATGTCATGATCTTTCTGGTTTTAAAAAAAGCACTATTATATGAGCTTTGAAATGATATAGAAAGAAGTACAGTTAAATTTTAAGATTGCCTAACTCAGAACTGTCACATTAGAAGAAGCCAAGTATTGGAAGAGACTAGAATTTAGTCTTTTTCTTTACTTTTATACCTGTTTTTAATTTGACTTATGACAGCAAGCACATACTACTTTTTTAAAAAAAGAAAAAAAAGATAGCAAAGTACAAAGCTTAACTTCAGACTTTAAAATAATTAGTAATAGAATATGCTTGTGGTTTTTTCTAATTGTGTTCATCTTTAGTACATGGTTGTAAAACTATCTATTCATACTTGTGTATTTTGTTTCACCTTAGCAATGTCAGACCGGCAGGAGAGTGCCCTTATAGAACTAATGGTGTGTACAATTCGTCAAGCTGCTGAGGCACATCCTCCGGTGGGAAGGGGAACCGGCAAAAGAGTAAGTTATATTAGTGAGAAATCTACAAAAAAGCTTTTAGAGTAATCAACTGTCTTAAATATTCGGAAATTTTACTGATATTTGTAATCCTTAAAAATATGATATTTTTATAAATAATACAGGCTTTGGTGCTTTATCTTCATAACCTGTCTACTATACTCAAATTCCGAAAATTGATTATTTCCTTCATGCTTACATAGTACCTGTATCTGCTTCTGTTACGGTATTTATAATGAACTTTAAGAAATTTCAAGGGCTGGCCAGTTAGCTCAATTGGTTAGATCATGGCCTTGTAACAACAGCGTCAAGGGTTTGGTGCCCCATACTGGCTGGTCACCCCCCATAGTAATTTTTTTAAAAAAGAATTTTCTTTTCTCTTTTTTTTTTTTTTTTTTTAAGAATTTTCATATTCATATATATTAAAGTGTATAAAGGCTCTGGAGGCAAACTGCCTAGTTTACAAGCTCTTCTGTTTAGCAGCTGTATAATCTTTGGATAGATGAATATTTATTTATTTATTTTTTTATTGTCTTAGTTTCCTTATCTGTAATATGGGACTAATAATGTAGGTATTATTTGTATTAAAGATAGTTAAGATAATCACAGAGGGAGAGACTACTGGCTCTGTTGATATGAAGAGGTAGGCAAATACTTTCATCAAAAAAAAGTGTAAAACTGGAAAATTGTGTTAAAAACATCATATTGGGGCTCTGGAAATTCACCCATGATTTAAAAAAAAAAATTGAGGAGTATTTTTTCATGTAAAACTGATAGAACTTCAGGTAAAAGCAGCAGGAGTCTACACCCTTCTTTCCTGGGTTTAAAATACACACACACACACACACACACACACACACACACATACCCCACACCTCACACCCCACACCCCACACCCCACAAGCTTAGTTGGTGAGATCTATCTATAGTTTTACAAGAGTGGTACTGGCCACACACACACACCCCACACCCCCCACACCCCACAAGCTTAGTTGGTGAGATCTATCTATAGTTTTACAAGAGTGGTACTGGCTACAAAAAACAGGAAAAAAACAGCTTTGCTTTCAGAGAAAATGGATTCAATATGGACAAGTGGTAAGAACCCACAGTTTTGTTAACTAGAAGTGACCATCTTGATAGAAACAAACAGGGAGAATCTACAGTTTTGATAATCTGAGGTTGTGGTCCCAGTTGGTAAGGGTGGTAGACCAGCCAAAAATTTAACTGAAAAACCGTGGAAATGAGAAAGCTATAAAAATGCTAGATAAGCTCTCAGCACATCCATGGCTGACTGGAAAATGTTAGAGAACCCAACGGAAAGTAAAAGTCAAGCCAATCATAAGAACTGACTGAACTTTGAATATGCTTTCTATACCACAGCAGATCATTCTCAGAGGGAAGAAGCTTTATTGATTTGAGGTATTTGAGCACAACCTCTCCCCAAATCATTGGCCAGCAACTAATCAATTCAAACACAGTAAGGACTCCTACGAAGAAAGGCTAAAAAACAAAAGTAAGATTTAAAATTCTGAGCAGAGATAGCAGAAGCCAGACCCCATGGGGGAAACAAATTATACAGTTTAAGTTAAAGGTGTTCTGTATTAGTCCATTTCTGTTGTTTATAACAAAATACCTGGAACTGGATAATTTGTAAGAAAATGAAATTTATTGCTTACAGTTTTGGAGTCTGGGAAGTCCAAAGTCCAGGGAACACATCTGGTGAAGGCTTTGCTGGTGACAGTGCCACAGGGGTCTGACATGTCAGAATGGCGGAGCAGAGAGAGAGACTAACCCCTTCATTCACTCTCTTTTTAGAGCCACCAGAACCACTACCATTATTCTAAGAATGGATCAAGCCATTCATGAGAGTACAGTCCTCATAGTCTAATCACCTCTCCAGTGCCCTACCTTTTAACTGCCACAATAGGATTTCCCACACTCTTAACACTGCCAAAGTGGGAACTAAGCCTCCAACACATTAAACCTTTTGGGAGACACTATTTAATCCATTATAGGTTGCTTTTGTGAAAATTAAACTTACAAAAGTAAGTTAAGAAACCTAGATACTATATTATCTTAAAATGTCTACTTTTCAAGAAAAATTAGTCATACAAAGAAACGGTAAACTGTGACCACACTTAAGGAAAAAATCAGACAACAGAAATGGCTTCTCAGTAGGCCCAAATGTTGGATTTAGCAGACAAAGACTTCAGAGTCCATTTTATAAATATGTTCAAAGAATTCAAAGAAAATAGGAAAACACGAAATAGAGAACCTTGGTAAGGAAAACCAAATGAAAACTCTGGAGTTGAAAAGTACACTGCAGAAGTTTAAAATTCACTAGATGGGCTCAATAGCAGGTTTGAGATGACACAAGACAGAAACAGTGAACATGAAAATTAATAGAAATTACCCATTTTCAAGAACAGAGAGGGAAAAGGTTGAAGAAAAATGAACAACACCTCAGAAACATGTGGGAACAACATAAGGTGCACTAAAATACTTGTAATGGAAGTCCCAGAGAGAAGAGAGAGAAAGAGTCATGAAAAATATTTGAAGGAATAATTGCCCAAAACTATCTAAATTTGATGAAAAACATTAATTCATCAATCAAAGAAGCTTAACAAAGTTGGATAAACACAAAAGTTCCACACCTAGACACAGCATATTCACACTTGTTGAAAGACAAAATAAAAAATCTTGAGAGCAAAAAGAGAAAAACAGTTCATGTAGAGGGTGGCAGCAATAGGATTAGCAGTTGATTTCTTAACAGAAACAGTAGAGATCAGAGGGCAGTGGAATGACATATTCACTGAAAGTGAACAAAATTGCCAACCAAGAATTATAAATTCAGTAAAATCATCTTTAAAAATGAAGATGTAATAAAACCATTTGCAGATAAACAAAAAACAAAAATAGGGAGGTGTTACTAGAAGACCTGCCTTACAAGAAATATTATAAGAATTACTTCAGTGGGCTGGCTGGTTAGCTCACCTAGTTAGAGCATGGTGCTGATAAGACCAAGGTCAAGAGTTCAGATCCCCATACCGGCCAGCCACCAAAAAAACAAAAAAGAAGTGCTTCAAGCCATAAGGAATATCACCAGATCTGAACTCCTATCCACAGAAAGGAATGAAGAGCACCAGAGGTGGTAAATATGTTGGTGGATATAAAAGGCTTTGTATATTTGTATTTTTTTCTTTT